TCAGGATGGGGCAGCATGGAAGACAATGAGAGCATATTTGAGCAAAGAAAGTTGTAAAACAGGGAGAGAGCTGGGCCTCTTTGAAGGATCCTAGTTAATAAAAGAAAATGTCAAAGGTGGAAAGTACCTTCAAATACAGACTCTTAAAACAGAACATATAAAATATCAGAGTTCAGAGAAATGTGAGAACATAGGAAGTTAGACCTAGGTGTGTCTTTGGAACAAGGAACACAAAATGTGGGACTTGGGAATGACCTTTGGACATAAAATCTTAGCTCTGGGAAGGCTGATAGAACATAAAATATCAGAGTGAGAAGTGCCCTTAGGACATAGAATGTCAAAACTGGAAAAGACTTGAAAACACATGGACTCTAACCTCCTTCTTTTTTAGATGAGTAAATCATGGTTTAGCAATGAGAAATGTTGTCCCTAAGAGCTCAGCACAAAAGAGTGGCCAAGTTATAACCCAGGCGGGCCAATGAGTGGAACTGTGAAGAGATATAGGCAGCTGGTATTCAGCCTTCTCCAGTTTGCCAAACGCTTTCATGCATTATTTCTTTGGAGCCTCACAACATCCCTCCAAAGCTGTTACTAGAAGAATCGTTGTTCCCATCATACAAGGGAGAGAACTGAGACTTAAGGAGATTAGGTGATTTGCCCATGGTCACACAGCTAGGAAAGCATCAGGGTCCAGGACGACAGGCCATGGTGAGAGTGACATTAAGAACCTACAGCACAAGCAGAGGGGGGTGTCACTTTAGCAAAGGGACACACACACACACACACACACACACACACACACACACACACGGCATATTTGGATTGGTTGGACAAAATGGAGATGGTATTAATGGAAAGGAGACTGAGTCGAGGGGACGTGATGACTATTTGACAATATTTTTAGGTCTCGTACATGGAAGAGGAACAAGATATTTTCTGTGTGACTCTGAGGCGGAGATGGAGAGCCTGCTAGCCTGGAAAGTGCCTTGGGCTTGGAGTTAGAAGTCTTGCTGTGAGTTCTAATTTTGGTGCTTGGTAGCTGTGTGCTATTGGGAAAGGCATTTGACTTTTCTGTCAGTGGATAGAGTGCCAGACCTGGAGTCTCATCTTCCTGAGTTCAAATCTGGCCTCAGACACTTGCTAGCCATGTGACCCTGGGCAAGTTACTTAATCCTGTTTGCCTCAGTTTCCTCATCTGTAAAATGAGCTAGAGAAGGAAATGGCAAACTGTTTCAGTCTCTTTGCCGAGAAAATCCTGAATGAGGCCATGAAGAGTTGAACACAACTGATAAGGGACTGAACAACAACATAAGGATAGGGTTGTATTGAAGGTTTTCTAAGCTTCTTGGGGAAGCTAGGTGCTACAGTGAATACAGCACTGGGCTTGGAGTCAGGAAGATCTGTTCAAATACAGCCTCTGACACTTACTAGCTATTTGAGCCTGGGCAAGTTAACCTCCATTTGCCTCAGCTCTTCATCCATAAAATGGGGAAACACTGGAGAAGGAAATGGCAAACCACTCCAGAATCTTTGTCTAGAAAACATGGAGTTAGACATAACCAAACAACAACAACAAAGTTTGTTTACTCTCTCACGAGCTAAGATCCTTTGAATGTATTACATTAAAGGTAGGCAAATATTGGCTCAATATTTTAAAAATAATCTCAAGAAATCAGATCTGAAAAAGAGCAAGATAGTGAGCTATCTATCACTATATGGTTTTGAGAAGATTGTGGATGACCACCCTGCCATGGATGGAAAACTGACCTCTAAAATCACCTCCAAATGAATGAGCTAAACCTTTCATTTATAAAACCAAAAGTTTCATCTTTTTCTTTCTTTTTTTGGCTAGGCAATGGGGTTAAGTGACTTGCCCAGGGTCACACAGCTAGTAAGTGTTATGTTTCTGAGGCCAGATTTGAACTCAGGTCCTCCTGACTCCAGGGCCAGTGCTCTATCCACTGCACCACTTCGCTGCCTCCAAAGGTTTCATCTTTAGGGATATATAATTTACAGGGAAGTTTGTGGTTCAGGGAAAAGGACATTGATTCTGAAGTTAATGAACCTAGATTAACAATCCTTGATCTGCTATAATCTACTTGTGTGACCATGGCTAAAAAACAAGCTAAACCTCAGTTTCCTCAGCTGCACAAGGAAGAAGACATATTAGATGATCTCTAAAATCTCTTCCAGGTCTAAGTCTATGGTCCTGTAGTCAGCCAGCTACCAGTGTCCTAACTCAAAAAGGAGACCAAAGCCAACAGCATCCACCTGCTGACCTGCCTGGACTAGCTTCACTCCTCCCTGCCCCCATCTGTGAAATTCCTGCCCATCTTGCGAGCTCTCCTCCTCTGGATGCACTGAAATGTCTCCATATCTTTCTTAAAGTCAGTTGTTGTTGTTCTTTGTCCTTCTTTCTCAAGTAGGACCATGACAACAGGAAGATGATGCCCTGACTTGCAAGTGAATTGGATTTAAGTGAGGGAGACTTGTGCAAGGTCACCAGCCTCACTGTCTCCTCCGGAGCCATCTGGGTCCAGTGGCAAGATATAGATCAGGACAACTGGAGATGGCCCCCTCTTAAAGTGGGAGGGGGGAAGAAAATGTATTAGATTCATAAAACACATTGAATGAGATGGTCATGAGTTGAGTTGCCTGGCCACACTCTCCCATCCTATGCTTGAGGATCCATGCTAAGGGGGATAAATCATGGATTTGATCTGGGGGTAAGTTTTTTAAGTCCTTTTTAAATGACTTATTTCCCTTTCAGAGATCTCTTAAAATAGCCTCTCCCTACAGAAGTATCTTTGTTCTGATGGATGGAGATAGAAAAATAAATGAAGACGCATCCACCCAGGTTAATCTATTTGCTAATAAGTTTCATAGTTGTTTTGTATTTCTTTTCTTTGCCTTTGGTTCAAGCACTAGACAGTTGCAAGTTTCAATGACTGTAGTTTCCTGAAGTATTCTTGGTGACTTCACAGGATAGAGTTTCTGTCCCATGGTGAAAAAACTATTCTTGCGTGGTCCAGTCACAATGTTTCAAATTTCCCTAAAGCTTTAAGATCTACTAATATGTTTCCTGAAAGAGATTTCCATTATTATCGTTATTCTTACTTCTGTTGCTGTTCTTGAGTCATTTTCGGTTGTATCCACTTCTTTGTGATCTGATCTGGGGTTTTCTTGGCAAAGATACCAGAGTGGTTGGCCATTTCCTTCTCCAGCCTATTTTACTGATGAAGCAAACAGGGTTAAGTGACTTGCCCAGGGTTGAACAGCTGGGAAGTGTCTGAGGTCACATTTGAACTCAGGAACATGAGTCTTCCTGGCTCTAGGCCCAGCACCCTGTATTGCACACTGTACCACCTGGCTGCCCTGTCCATAGTCACACAGTAGCTTTAGCAGAATTGGAACCAGAACCCAATTTTGATGCACAGGACACAGTTCACTTCCTAACACTGTAAATGCCAGTTTATCTCTGGAGTTGGATACTGCCTATCAGAATCAAACTCATGCCTTGCAATGCCATCTCAGTGACAGTGCTAGGATATCAAAGTAGTTTTCAGGCCCTTCAGATAGCTCACTTAGATAAAGCTATACCATACATAAAGGCCAATAACAGTAAAACAAATACAGACAGCTTTGTGGAGTTTCTTGTGACAGGCTTGCCTTACCATCCCATGAACCTTTTCTTGAGGAGTAAGAGGCCATTTAAAATACTACCCTCTGATAAGAATAAGAATAATTCAGATTTAACTGTTTCATTTCCAGGATGTTTTCTTAGCTTTGAAACATCTCCATAAAACAGATTGCAACTATATCCCCACTTCACAAATTAGGAAACTGACTCTGAGAGAGAGCAAGGATTTGACTCAAGGTTATACAGGATGTACACTATTGAGCTGGGATTCTAAGCCAGATCTTCTTTCTATAAGTCCTGCAAATTTTTCACCACACCAAGAATGAGCTGACTCTGTGGCACAATGTTATAGTTAGAGGAGCTGTGTTTCATCTTGCTGAGAAAGCAAATACATGGATGGGAATGCAAATGAAGCCAAGTGGAAAGAGGCCAGGAAGAGCAAGGATGTGTGTTGTCAGACTCATTTGATGGGGCAGCTAGATAGGCTGAGTTGCTTTTTCCCCTCTCTCTGTTGCTCTTTCTTGCAAGGGATTGTTCATTGGATGGGACCAATAAGTATGTATAGTGAGAAGGAAGATATATGTGGATATATTTGGTTAGAAAGATAATAAAAATATAAATAAGTAAATAAGTAAATGAATGAATGAATGAATGAATAGATTTTTAAATGAAATGTGAAGTATAATGGACATTTCACATTGGTGTTCAGGATATCTATCTGTTTCCTCATCTTCAAGTGAGTAGCAAAATGCATACACAATATACCTTTGAAGGTTGTTACAAGGACAAAATGAGATCACTTATGCCAGATTGTCAATCAAAAGGTACCACCCAGCCCAGAGATGGAAATGACTGTGCATGGCCAACAAAATTACTGAAAGAACTGGGATTCGATTGAGAGCCTCTAAATTTCTAGTCCAGTGTCCCCCACTCTCCCCACCCACCACCCACTATGCTTGGATGTCCCTTAGTGCTTTGACATGCAGCTGAGTTGCTACTCATCTTGTTATTGTAATTGCCTGTTTCAACTTATGTCCTAAGCCTCCTTTCTCATCATAGAATGAAGGTAAGTCTGAACCCTTGAATACAATATCTTATAATGCTAAACAAGATTGAAACCACTTATATAGAAATTTAGGAATACACAAGATGACAACTATGAACCAGCTCAGCCAAATGTAGAGAAAACTGTGCCGAGAATGATGGACAATGCTTTGGCCATAGCCACCCATGTAGCTCTGCATAGATGCTGTTGGATACATAAAATCAAAAAGGTTTTGAGCTAGAAGGTAAGAATGCTCCCATGCAAAATAGTCTCTCATGCATGCAAAAAAACCCATTGTAACTACTTTAAAACCTGATGTGTTTTTGTTTCTCTTATTATTTCAGGTGGAAGAAAAGAAATGCTATGGATTCAAGAAACAGCACCACTGTGACCTATTTCATTCTGGTTGGGCTCGCAGAGTATCCCAGAGCCCAAATCATCTTCTTCTGCCTACTTCTGGTATCCTATCTTGTCACCATGCTGGGGAATAGCCTCATTCTTCTCCTTATCCACTATGATCCCCAGCTGCACACCCCCATGTATTTCTTTCTCAGCAATCTATCATTCCTGGACATCTGCTTCACATTATCTATTATGCCTCAGGTGCTCGTCAACTGTTTAGTCAAAATTCCCATCATCTCCCTGGGTGAATGCCTGGCACAGATGTGTGTCCTTCTCTACTTGGGTGTTATAGAATGCTTTCTGCTGGCCGTCATGGCCTACGATCGTTTTGTAGCAATCAGCGACCCCCTGCACTATGCAATGAAAATGCGGCCTCAGCTCTGTGTCCAACTTGCAGTGTTACCCTGGTTAATATCCTTTTTACTTTCTGTGGTCCCAATCCTGACCATGCCACTAGATTTCTGTGGCCACTACATTATCAACCACTTCTCCTGTGAACTCTTGGCTATCCTCAAGCTTGCATGTAATGATCTGAAGTTCTACGAATTGCTAATGATGGCTACCAGTTTCCTAACTCTCCCGCTACCCTTTACATTTACCCTAGCCTCCTACATGCGCATCTTGGGAGCTGTATTGAAGATGCGCTCAGCTGATGGAAGAAGGAAAGCCTTCTCCACCTGCACTTCCCACCTCACTGTGGTAGTCATCTTCTATGGCACTGCCATCTCCATGTACATGATGCCCCAGGACAAAGTCAGACGAGATGTAGACAAGATCATCTCCATGTTGTATTTCATTGTGATACCCATGCTCAACCCTATTATCTACAGTCTTCGGAACAAGGATGTGAAGGGGGCTTTCAGGAAACTAATAGGGGGAAAGAATGACTCCTAAGAAACAGATCTTTGTTTGCCTTCTTAGAAGATCCAGAAGGGGAGTGGCTATGAAATCAAATTATTAAAAATGAAAGAAAGTGGTGGTTCTCAAGGTATCTTTTGTTTTCCAGAAATCTATCCATCCCCCATGGAGATCTTTGTTGTGGTTTCCACCACACAGGACATGGATAGGGCACAGTTTTAGCCAGTCACTATTTCAGACATACAGCCTAGGCTAGCACAGAAAGTCTGAATAGTTGTCATTAGCTTTCTATTTTTGAGTTTTGTATTGTTCAGTAGAGAGTAGTGGGAGTGAAAGCCATTGAATGCATTATATACATGTACAAATACAAGTGACAAAAACATGGTAGGAGAGCAATAATAAAACAGTTACTCTCATGCATTGCTGGTAGCATTGCAAATTCATCTAAACTTTTTGGAAAGAAATTTAGTAATACAAGCAAGGTTCATAAAAAAGAATCATACCCATTGACTCAACAATATCCTTATTAGTTATCCACCATAAGAATATTTTAAAGGAGAAAAATATCTATGCAATTATATTTATGTGGCATTATTTGTAATAACAAAAAACTGTAAGTGATATAAGTAATTAATGGTTGGGGTACAGCTGAATAAATCCTACAGTACTAATATAATGAAATGATACAGCATGATAAAAATTGTAAATATGTTGTATATAAAGATATATAAAATAACACAAATCCAAGAAAGCAAAAACAAGTGAATTGCAAACATATCGACTTCAATGGATATCTATGTATATGTATGTATGTACATGTTTGTGTGTTTATGGGTTGTGTGTATGTGTGTGTGAACTCCAGAGGGAAATGTACATACAGAGTGAAGGGGACATAGAGGGAATAGTGGAAAAGCTGTTATCATCAAGTTTCTAAAATTGTAAATAGATGTAGATTCTGTTTCATCTTGGTTTCTTTCTTGTATTGAGTTTAAAAATGAAAAAATTGAGGAAACCAGAAAAAAGTAGTCTCTATCATCACCTCTGCTAGAAGACTGCCCCTGAAACAGGGAGTTGGTAGGAAAACATCGGAAGGTTCCATTCCAGTTGGATACATCTCAAACTAAATATGTTCAAAATTGAACTAAATTTAGTTCTCAAAACACACACACACACCACACACACACACACACACACACACACACCACACACCCCTCTTCCAAACATCTTTTTTATTCCTATTGATAGCATCACTATCATTCCAGGCACCCACATTTACCACCTGGAGTCCTTGGGTCTTCCTTCTCCATCATGTACCTATCCTATCAGCTGCCAAGCCTTGTCAATTCTACCCCTGTCACCTACTTACATAGTTTCTATTGTAGTTGATCCTCCCTACCTCTCCCTTAGACTATTGCAATAGCCTCTTAGTCTGTCTCCTAGACTTCTATCTCTTTTTTATCACTGAGGAGATCAGAAAAAACTTCACATAGGAGATGGCACTGAGCCAATATTCCTGAATCACAGATCTGACCAGGAATCTGCCCTACTAAAAAAAAATTTCATTGGCAAAAAATCCTCAGTGCCTTCAACAATCTGTATCCCACTTACATGTTCAGGTTATTTCATATTCCTCTCCTCCACAAATATTGCATGTCATAGAAATTCACTTCATAAGTGTTTCATCTCTTCCTTCCACAAATTTTCATGGCATCAACCCACATCTGAAACTCACTCCTGCCTCCCTCATGACTCTTAGGATTCTTAGCTCCCTTCAGAGCATACTCTGCTTTCACCTCCTACATGAAGTTTTTGTTTCTGAGTCTCTCAAGTTATTAATAATCTGTCCCTCTTGACATTAGTCTATGTCTGGTTGTATTTACTTATCAATGTAGATGTTGCATCCTAAAATAAAATGTAAGTTGATGTCAGAGACTATTTTTTAATGTATGTCTCCATCACCTTGCACTGTCCCTCATGGATATAGAATGTGCTTAGTAAATGTTTACGTTGAACTGAGTGAGCTGATCACCAAATGTTCAGAGGTGGACAACCAAGGGGATGTAGCTTTTCTACTTCATGCCAAATGAGAATTATCTAAGAGAATTGAGGATACCTAACCATTTGTATAACAGATATTAAGAAAATATGAGTTGTCTTCAAATAGGTGAAAGTTAATGAGGTAGAAGAGGAGCAGGTTTCTTTTACTTTACTCAAGCAGAACCAGGTAGGTAAGTGTTGCCATAGATTCTGGTAGGTTCTGGATGATATGAGAAATTTCTAATGGAATAATCTCTAGATGGAATGAGCAGCTTTGGAAGATAGTGTGTTCCCTATCACAGGGATTCCTAAGGGATAACATTGGCAAAAACATGGAGAATGGAAATTTCAGAGTGAGTCTGGTAAGCAAAATTGCTCCGTTTGTCTGGATCATGGAGATATGGTCTCAAAATACTGTGTGTGTACCTAAGGAGTGTGTAACAGGATCCACTGGGTAGAGCAAAGAGCCTAAAATGGAGAAGAGCAATATAGATCTTCAGTATGCTTCTGTCATCACCTCCTTCTGTTGTTCTCCTTCCCCTCCTGTACCCAGTACAGGCTATACAAGCCACTGAAGCCCAGGAATTGCTGAGCAGGTGGGCAGGTAAGCAAGCATTCAAACCCAACCCCAAGACCATCTCTCTGCCTGTGCTTGATGTAGGCTGTGCTGGATGGTGAGTTAAGTGAACTGCTTTCCAGCCAGGCAGGTAGGCAGAAAGGCAGTGGCTTTAGGCTACCATAGGGAGAGGCTTCTTCTTTGAGTGCAGGTACCCTTCCAGCCTCACCTTTAGAGGCAGAGGTCATGGATGGAATATTGGCTTGCCTAGCACATAGGTTTATATCTAGCTCAATTCTCAGCAGAGTGAAGGGACATCCGGGGATCAGGGTACAATGGGATAGCCTTATTCTGATGCTAGAAGTGACACCCTTAGAGGTCAGGAAGATAGATGAAATGGATGTACCCTTCCTTCACAACCTGAGCAAGTCCCTAGGAGAGCTACGGGGCCCATTGTTCAGGTCCCAGGAGACTCTGACTGCAGCAAAAGATAATGGGGAGATTCAGCTTCCTTCTCAGTAGTCAGGGACTGTTGCAGAGCTTCACTATCAGAAGAGCATGATGGAAGAGAATGGGTAGAAAGTGTACTGTGGATCACCCCATGAGAATTTTGTGATAGTGTGTGTAAAAAATGGATATGTGGGATGTCTAAATATATGGACTCGAGTATTGAGTAGCATGGATCCATGTTCTAATGTCTAGTTTGTTTTAGGTAAGTAGGAAAAGGGTCCTGCCTGGAATCAGCTTCTTGATAATTCATCAGTTTACTACTTCGTTTGACTTTGTGGTGTCTTATCCTTTGTGATGCCTTGTTCTTGGTGGTATTGTCCTATCCTCTGTTCATCCCTTCCTTCCTCCCCGGGCTCCACCCCTGACTGCCTAGTTGTCTTTCTCCACCATTCCCCCATGGATTCTCTCATTCTCTCTCTCACCATTCTTCCTGCTCCCTTCTCAGCTTCCTTTGAAAAACTATCTTTAAGGGGCAGTTAGGTGGTGCAGTGAATAAAGCACCAGCCCTGAAGTCAGGAGGACCTGAATTCAATCTGGCCTCAGACCAAACACTTGACACTTACAAGCTGTGTGACCCTGGGCAAGTCACTTAACCCCAATTGCCAAAGAAAAAGAGAAAGAAAGAGAGAAAGAAAGAAAGAAAGAAAGAAAGAAAGAAAGAAAGAAAGAAAGAAAGAAGAAAGAAAGAAAAGAAAGAAAGAAAAGCCAACTTTAAGACTTATTAAGATTGAACAGTTTACATTCCTGCATGGAAAGATGATATTTATAACTCATGAGACCTTTGTCAGTATCAGGGTAGTTGGAGGAAAAAAATTATATGTATGTATATGTAGATAGATAAATAGAGGGCACAGGGTGAGTTGAAGATTAAGGGGTCATATCTGGAGAATAAAATTAAGGGATGAGAGAGGATTATACTCAGAGAAGAAGAAAGGGAAAGGTAGAATGGGGTAAATTACCTCACAAAAAAAAAACAGAAAAGAAAAATCTCTTACAGTGGAAGGGGAAACGGGGGAAGATGAGAGGGAATGAGTGAATCTTATTCTCATAGGATTTGGCTTAAGGAGGGAATAACATACACATTCAATTGGGTATGGAAATGTCTTACACTACAGAAAAATAGGGGGAAAAGAGGACAAGAGAGCAGGGGGATGATAGAGAGGAGCGCAGATTGGGAAAGGCGTTAATCAGAAGTAAATACTTCTGAGGAGGGACAGGGTCAAAAGAAAGAATAGAATAAATGGGAGGGCAGGATAGGATTAAGGGAAATAGAGTTAGTTTTTCACATGTCTACTATGGACGTGTTTTGCATAACTGCACATGTACAACTTATATTGAGTTGCTTGCTTTTTCGATGAGGGTGGGTGGGGAGGGAGGAAGAGAGAAAATTTGAAACCTAAAGTTTTAAAAACATATGTTTAAAAAAAGTTTTCACATGCTCCTGGGAAATAAATATAGGAAATGGGGTACAGAAGTCTATCCTGCTACAGGAAAATAGAAGGGGAAGGGGAAGGGGATAAGAGAAGGGGAGAGAGAGAGAAGAGAGGACAGAGTAGGGGGAAGGTATATTCAGAATGCATGACATCTTGGGGTGGGGGGAGGGGAGATGGGGTGAAAATTTGGAACTCAAAAACTTGTGGAAGTGAATGTTGAAAACTAAAAATAAATAAATTTTTACATATATATATATATATATATATATATATATATATATATATATATATATATAAAAGAAAAGCTATCTTTACCCAGCAGAATATAAGGTCTTCGAAGGAAAGGGATATATATTCTCATCACTTAGCATGTGCCTGGAACACAGCAAGTGCTCAGTAAATGCTTGTTATTGTGGACAGGGGCAGGTAGGTAGTGCAGTGGATAGAGCACCAGATCTGGAGTATAGAAGACTCATTTTCATGAGTTCACATCCATCCTC